TTTATGCCACGGGGCCACTTCGTGCCGTGACGCCTGGACGTTCAGCATCACCAAACGGTGGTACCACATCACTAACGGGTCATTTTACCCACTTCCAGGCCAAACTTGGAGGAGGTTTTTGTTTCCCAGCAGAGGGAGCGGCCGTGATTTAGCTCTGAATTGGGGCAGTTAGTACCTGCCCCAATCCACAGCCCCACGCAGCCTGGTGACAACAGCAACTTAGCGGTCCCTCTTCCTCTGTTTATTGCTAAATGGCTTCTGGCAATAACACCAGAAAACGTTTAATTAGCAGCTTTCAGGCACAATTGTCTCGTTCACAGAAGACCCATTGACACCTACTCATCCTCCCCGCTCTCCGGGAGGGGAGGGCTGCCTTAGGTGGGACACCCCTTGTCACAAAGCCACCGGAACGCCCCCCCTGGATGTGGCAATGTCCCCAGATCCGCCCCCGAGCTCCCCACCTCCCTCGCGGGTAAGTAGGACCATCCCTTGGGAAGCAGTTTGGGATGAACCCGGGGGAAGGATGTCTCTGAGAGTGAATCCATGTCCCCGTGGGTGGAAAGAACCCGCATCTCTACAGGCTTTTCCGTGTATCTATTTGGGTGTGTGGCCTTAAAGGGGCTGGGGACAACCTGGAGGGTTCGGCATCTGGAACCGATCCCGAAGAAAGACCTGGAACTTATGATAGCACTCAGTTTTTCTCCTCTCTTTTCAGGAGCTACGGATCAAATATTGTCCTTTATGGGTCTTTCAAGCAAAACACATAAATGTCCCATTTCCTACAAGGAGAAGAGGAACTGCAGAAGCCACCCCAGGCAGCTGGGGAACACCTCGGGGTGTTTCTGCCTGGCTGCCTCCTGTTGACCATGGCTCATGCAGAGCCCACAGAGCAGGGCAGAGGCTTCTCAGCTGCTTACAGCCCTGCCCCAGCCTCCCCAGGGCAGGCACATTGGACTTATCTCCCCCTCTCACAAAGGAAACCATTCCCCAAACCCACCCCTTCTGCCTTTACCCAACCCAGGACGTAGAATCAGAGAATTGCCTGGGTTGGAAGGGATCTTTCAGATCATGGAGTCCAACCATGGACCCAACACTGACAAAAAGCCATCACTAAACCATATGGGACATCCCCACCATGGCTCTCCCTGCTTCAGTGCCAAGAGGCACCTTAACATTGTCCATACCTCGAGGCAGGAGCATCACAGAAATCCCCTAAACCAAACATTTCTGCCAACAGGAGACCACGGAAGCCTGATTTGTGCTTTTCACCATTAGGTCTCCCCCACGACACGCTCAGGTCCCATTGCCACCACCCTGCAGTGCTGTCGGGGTGAAATTCAGTGCTCTCCTGCTAGTGCAACTAAAAATTGTGATTGCACATACCTGGACCTTTCCTGGTTCCAAATTCTGGGCCAAACTCTTCATCATGAGGTTGAGCACACCCCAACAGCCTCAGCACAGGTTTGGATTCTCTTCCCAGGTGCTGTCTGAGTCTTTCTGCCCCTGAAATCCTGCTTTCCATGTGCCTGTGGGTATAAAATCCAAGGGATGTTAGTCACCAGAGGAGAATCCCACTGCTCCTGTGCTACAGAGAGGACACAGAGAGAGATGCCACCACAGATCCATGATGCAACACGGTTTATAACAACCCATCACCTGTGTCACCAGTCCCTGTCCAGACTGTCCATGCTGAAGACTTACCCCTATTCTCTCCAAAACCCCAACTGTTGCTTTTTGGCAATGATGTTCTGATTAAACTGATACTCCAAAGTGCAGCATTTCTTATTTTGGAATTCTTACTTATTTCAGAACAACAAGAAAATGCAACTTTATCCTAAAAAAAAAAAAAAAAGGAGAAGGAGCATACTTGTGCTTAATTGTTATTCTAATTACAAGTCCTGGTGTAGTGTAAATTTTTTCCCTTGGCATTATTATGAACCTAATTTCCTTACAAAGTCCAGGATAAACAATTCCAATATATTTTGTTTTAATTATCAGGGTTTAATGGGGCATAATGAGGCTACGTTGAGTGGCGCAGAAAAAAAATAGAATATAATTTAATGTGTGTGAAACTCCTGAGTGCTGCGAGCGGGACTGGGCATATTTCACCTTTGTGGGGCAGCACTCCCTTCGCTAATAATCAGCCCACCCAGCATCCATTTATTGATCAGATTGGCTTTTCTATTGAAAATTTTTCCAATTTTTTTTTCCCTGCAGAAAGCCATTAAGAGATCCTGGAAAAAAAAAATAAGGGTGATTCTCCGAGTTGAGCAGTTGAAGGATGATCCCAGTTGAAGACGTTGGACGAGATGACCTTTAAAAGTCCCTTTTCCAACTCAAACCATCCCGTGATACACAGCTGGTGGTGCCAGGAGCATCTGTGGTGTCACAGACTGGAGGAGACCAGCCCAGCCCCTTCCAAATCCCATCCTTCTCCAGCGTTATTTGGCAGGGAAAGCTGCTGGCTTCGGTTCTTCGGGCTCCTACAAAGCACCACCAGCTGAAGCCACCGTTGAGACACGGCCTTGCCTGGACTCTCGCTGTAGACACATCTCCCCACTCCCAAGGTGTGGTTCTTACAGGCTTAAACCACCACACACAGACACTTCTGCAGGGAAAAAAGTGCAAATAAATAAATAAACTGGAAAATAAACCAGTAAAGTGAATTATGGCCCATAATGCTTCCCAAGGTCCCTTTGCCAATGGTGCTGGATCCAAGGGCTGGGAGAGGTGGGTGCAGCACTTGGCCACCAGATTTATATTCCATTGTACCTGGGTGACCATATACCAAGATCAAAACACCCCCCTCCTCCTTTTTTTTCCCCCTCCTCCACAGTAGTTTTATACAGGCAGAGGAAGAATTGGGCCTTTTCTCTAGGAATTACAAACAATTACAGCCAAATTTGAAATATTTTGGTCCTCCTGGAGTCCCCACCGTAGGGCTCACACACCACCAGTTCAACACAGGGGGCTGCTGGATGGAAATAACCTGAAAATTAAACGTATCATGAAACCGAAGCAGCCAAAAGCTGCTAAAACTCTTCTATATGGCCCCAATCCTCTTTTATAATTTATAGAGAAATAGTCTCTAGGCTTGATTTATCCCAGATTAAATGAAGGAACTAACTCCTAGACGATGTAGCTTTGTGGATAAGCAGGATATTCCCCTCCAAGAGAGCCATGAGCTGTCGGCCTGGCCAGGAAATCCAGAAAACCACCCGGAACCACCAAGATCAAAGGAGAAATAAGCAAAGGGGAATTTTGGCACGGGGCAAATAATACAGTCATTCATTAATAACCAAAAGATGGTGGTTGTTGTAGCAGTAAATACAGGCAAGAGCCCCTCTGCCAACCATCCCCCAGCAGAAATTAGAACAATCAAATCTTCTCACTCTGAGAGTGACCGGTGTCTCCACAATTCACTGCTAATTGCAGAGTTTCAGACAGCTCCGTTAGTTAGAGGAGGTTTAGCTGCAAAGTAAAATTACCAAAAAATTAGTTGTGTTTCACCACAAAGCAGGACAGAGAGAACCAACCAGGCAGGAGAACACCCTTCTCCCCACATCAACCCATCCTTTCCTTCTAAATCCTGTCCCCTCTGCTCCCCCCATCCCAGGCTGTGGTCCCAACAAGCACGAGCTGTTGGGCCCAGCCTTCTTCACCCAAACATTCTATCTGCAAATAACAATATTTCTCCTGTCCTGGCTTTTTAACTTAATGCAATTTCAAGGAAGGCATCCCAAGATACTCCAAACACACAGGAAAAGGAGGCCTTACCCACCAAAAAACCAGAAACCACCTCAGGTATGTGAAGTTTGGGACCTCCACCAGGTAGACTTTGTGATGAGCACCACGTGTGACCAACCTGGAGGTCCACAATCTCTGCGTTTCACTCAGGCAAGAGTTACAAGCTCAAATGCAACACAAAAAAACCCCACACCAATGGCACACTGCATTTATTTGAAAATTAACATTTTATATTACAGATTAAGTTAATATACTCCCAAGTCTTTGTGTTTTAAATAAAATAAATTTATTATAAACATCGGTATTTACAGAAAGAAAAACATGTACATAAATAGCTTTTTTTCTTGGCTTTTTTTTTTTTTTTAATGTCATTGGAGTAAAAAAATTCTCCCATTCTGTGAGAAGTCTGTTTCCTTCCAGGATGAATGGAGACAAGAAACCCAACCAGGCTTGAGTTACAGCCCAAGGAGTTGACTGAGGACCTGCAAGGGGCTGGTGATGTGCATCAAAGGGGTCTGGGGGGACCTTCCAAGTCTGCATCCTGGAATCAGCGAGTACCTTCCATCAAACCTGCCTCACACACAGGACCAGGCCACCATCCAGCATGTTCTCGTGGACCTCCAAAGCTTTGTGGTCACCTTTCTTCCCACTAAATTATGGGGATTCTGACCCAAATTTAGGATCCTGTGGAACAGCCACTGTATAAATACAAAAATGCAACCTCTGCTGCCACGCAGCCCAGTAATCCATGGTGGAAGAGAATGGTTTTACAAAGAGAAGGACTGGCCAACTGCACTCAGAGGTGCAGCTCTGAGTTGGAAGCCAAATTTGCTGATTCCGCCACTGTATAAATACAAAAATGCAACCTCTGCTGCCACGCAGCCCAGTAATCCATGGTGGAAGAGAATGGTTTTACAAAGAGAAGGACTGGCCAACTGCACTCAGAGGTGCAGCTCTGAGTTGGAAGCCAAATTTGTTGATTCCCAGACAAATACTGACCTCGATGTTCCCTCGGATTGGCCAGCAAGTCCCAGGGGGGGACTTACAAGGAGGTCTCTGCATTTGGTAGAGCCGCAGGAAGAGGTGTGGGAAGTGCATTTCCAGGCAATGCCTGAGCTGCAGAGGGTGGAGGCCACTGAGATAAGCTCTGGGCAAACTCTTCTGAAAGTTCTGTGTAGGAGTTCACATCCCTCCTGGGTTGTGCAGTCAAAACTGGATGAGGTTGTGTCACTGAGAGACCCGCACCCCGTCCTGGGTTGAAGCAGGAGACCAGGCCTGATAAATCATAGGAAATTCCTCTCCTCCATACACAGAACAAGACCTTAATTTGAACCCTCAATTACTGTGTTTCAGCTCCTTCACATTGCAAGTTCCTGGTTTTAATGGTTTCCTCTAGTGGACAGGCACTCAAAGAGCTCTCCGTGGAGGTCAGCACACCCTCCAGAAGCTCGTGGCTCCTCAAAAGACCAGCTTTAAACACCGTTCCACACAGCCATGGAGAGAGGAGAAGGATTTGAAGCACAGTTGAGTTTCTGGTTCTCCCACCCTGGAATCTTAAAATGCCACTTCCCTTGGTAATGGCAAATGGGGAACTGAATCCAGGTGCACGTGTCAGAAAAAGGTCCTCCTAATGACAACCACACCTCGTCGCCACCATGTCTTTGTAATTTTTAAGGACCACATTCTCCTTGTCGTCGAAGTAGAGAAGGTTGAGGGACTTGAGTTCATCGGGCACGCAGCAGGGCGTGCTGACATCCTGGGCCAGTTTGAGGGTATGGACTATGGACTGCACCGTGGCGTGGTTGGTCGCGTTGAGACTTTCCCCCAAGGGGAAGAGACAGGACCCTCGGCAGTAAAACGCGTTGTATCCACTGGGGTAAATGATCCAGCCCGACCAGCCGATGGCACGGAAGTCAACGTAGAGCTCCCTTCGATGGCACGCTGGCACCTGGCTTTTGGCAGCAGGGTCTGCAGCAGCTCGAGGGCTCCTGCTCAGGCTTCCCACCAGCTGTGTTTCACGGGGCACACGTGGAGCGTCGTTCCTGGCAGGGTTCATCTCCGGTTCTGAAAGGAAACCGAGCGGTAATCTCTCACAAAATAAATTGCATTTCCTACATTCGGTATTCTGCATGAAAGCCTGCTCCGTAAACTGACATCTACGTCTTCAAGGGAGATTTAAAAATCACATTTAACTGTGAAAGCACCAAAAAGGGGTGTGTATTCACAGAATCACAGTGGTTGGAAGGGACCTCAGAGATCATTGAGTCCAACCACAAAAAACCCAAAAAAAACCCAACCAACCAAACAAAAACAAAAACAAAAAAACCAAAAAACCAAACCCACAAAACAAAACAAAAAAAAAAACCACCACCCACCCCCTAAACACACAACAACAACCACCAAACCAAAACCATCACCCACCCACGCAACATCCCACCACAAACCAATAATCTTGGGCACCAGAGCATGCCCTGAAGAACCATGTCTACACATTTTTTAAATCCCTCCAGGGATGGTGACTCCACCACCTCTCTGGGCAGTCCATTCCAATGCCTGATAACCCTTGCAGTAAAGAAATGTTTCCTAATATCCAACCTGAACTTCCCCTGGTGCAACTTGAAGCCATTACCCCTTGTCCTATCGTCTGTAGCTTGGAAGAAGAGACCGACCCCTGCCTCTGTGTATTGTGCATTCAATTGCTGTTCCAGCCCTGTTTCAAAAACTGCTAAATCGCGGGTTTCACTTTGTGGCCTGAAAGGCCCAAAAAACTCAGCTGAAATATAAAAGCAAAGCTCAATGAGATCCTAAATACATCCTGTGAATTCCACGGGGCCTTTTCAGGGCCGAACCTGGTCAGAGTGGTATTAAAGATCATTACACAGCCACTCCTACAACACACATCAAGCTGGGCAGAGGGTGGAGATCACAGCCTTTTTCTCTCCCCTGTGTTCTCCTCCCAGGAACTCTCCCCACACACTTGCAGAACAGAGGGTGTTCCTAGACAGCAGTAGCTTTTAAAGAGTATTTTTCAATTTTGGCATCTAAAAAGTTACCACCAGGTTTGTGGAACTCTGCTAGACAATGAAGCTTTGACAACAGGTTTGCTTTCTTAAAGTAGCTGCTGAGAAGCCTTGAGTAATATCTGTGGAGACCTCAAGATCCATGTGGAGAGACTGAAAACCACCGATAGAAAAGCTGGTAGAAGAACAATCTGTGCAGATTCACCCACCAGTGAAAGAGTTTCTTTATTGGGAAAATATTGATTTCTCAGGCCTGGCACAGTATCCCACGCGGAGCTTGAAGCTCATTAAATTGGGATCTAGGATTTCATTACACAAATTTTCTTTGGAAACCAAACATAAACAGGCCAGCCTTATTTTTGTTACTAAGCAATTTCACCTACTTCTTCATATTGGTACAAGCCCTACCTTTAGTTTCTTTCTAATATGCAAATGCAATCGTTTACCAGAAAACCCTGCAAACCCAAACTGGAATAATTTTTGCCCCCTCTCACAGCTTTTGCTCTTTGCATTTATCGGGCTCTGAAATCCAGCCTTAGTGGGTTTTACTGGGAGACCAGAGGGAGAGGTAAAACACTGTTTTGTAACTTAAGGGAGGAGGGCGTTGTCTCTGATGAAAGCAGCCTTTAGTCGCAATGCTAATTAGTCACCGAAGTTAAATAGGTGCTTAAAAACCAAGCCAAGGACAGAGAGGTTTAAATTGCTTATTTAACAACCCCTTCCACTCTTGAAAGCCGTGCTTAGTAACTCTACTTACAGTTGCTTTACCAGCATTTTCACGAAGTTTTCCAGGTCACTGAGGTTTTTTTTTAGCCTAAACCTATTACACAATTTTCACGCAAACTTCACCACCAGAAAAAAATATTTAAATAGCGATTTAAAAAAAAAATAAATAGAACTCCCACCCCTTTACAAACAAAATACTCCCCCTCCTCCCCCAGCTTTATGAATATATTTCCTGCAAACATAAGTTTTTTTGAGGGGAGAGAAAATTTAAGACGCTGGGTGATCTACTAGCAAGAATTATCTTATCAAACTCTCATCAGTGACAAAGCCCAACTTCAAACCTGTTCAAGTAAATGCTGAAATTAGGTGTACACGAGGAGGCAGAAGGTGACAGGAGATGAACAGGGAGTTCCTACTCCAAAACTGAACTGCTGCTCTCCTGTGAACTTACTGGTGGAAGAAGGTACAAAGCTGGACGCCCTCCGTTTGTTGCTGTTGGTGAAGAGGACCAGGAGAGCGTTTCTGCTCTCCTGCACAGCGCCCTGGCTCTTGGCAAACTTCACCAGGTTGTGCTCAATCCTGTTGTTGAACACGTGTGTGGTAGTTATCAAAAAGCCATGGTTGGAGCTGCTGTCTCCAACCCACTTGGAAACCTGGCAATGAAAGAGAATTGGAAAAAAAAAAAAAAGTACTATTTCAATATTCTTATTGCAGTGTTACGATTAAGCACTGTTTTTATCAGGAAAAGGGAAGAAGCAACAAGCTATGAGAGAGTAAGAACATCTATTATGACAGAAGTGAGGCAACTGTATAGCTGAGACTCAATCAAGTTTAATATTTAAACCAGTAATTCAATATTTGAAAATACAAAACACCATATGAATTACCCAAAGCTACGTTTACAGGAAGATAATTAATTCCAGAGAATCTACTAGTGAATAGATGAGCCTAGGAGTTAAAATTGACATTAAAAGAAATCCTCTCTGATTTTAGCCAGGAATTTATTTTTCATAGCAATCTTAATAACAGAATATTATGAACTCTCCAGACTTTCCATAACTTCCCATTAAAACTCATTTAAATCTAACAAACAGGGCATTTGAAGAAATTAACTCGCAATCAAGCAAATTTACTTTATCTAATTGTTATAATTACAGACTAATAGATAAAGCCAGGCCATTCTCACGCAGGGCTATCGTGACTTAAGATGGAACTCGACCAATCATCCAAGTGATCTTATGATCTCTTCAGATCATAAAGGTTTGGCAACATAAAACACCGTCCAAGAATAACGGATTTAAACCCAAGAAACTGTATGTTTTAAACCACATTTGTTTTTTTTTATTATGGAAAGCAAAAAAACCCCTGTTTATACTCTTCTACTTCAAGGATATCTACAAGATAAATCTTGAAACTAACAAATAAGTCTCCAGAGGAAGTTAAATGCAGATTTAGAATGAAAACGAAGCCAGAACCCTCTGCTTACCGTCTGCGTGACGTTGAACACTTCCCAGCCTTCTGTGTACAGGGACAACAACCTCGACGCAATGAGATGCTTTTTCCGTGGTTTGTTTCCACCCTCCAGGAGCTCATACACTTCCACCTTGATCACCCCTGTTTATACTCTTCTACTTCAAGGATATCTACAAGATAAATCTTGAAACTAACAAATAAGTCTCCAGAGGAAGTTAAATGCAGATTTAGAATGAAAACGAAGCCAGAACCCTCTGCTTACCGTCTGCGTGACGTTGAACACTTCCCAGCCTTCTGTGTACAGGGACAACAACCTCGACGCAATGAGATGCTTTTTCCGTGGTTTGTTTCCACCCTCCAGGAGCTCATACACTTCCACCTTGATCAGAACAGGTACAATCAACACCAGAGCCCTCACCTGCCCGATTTTCCTATGGATCCCAAATTGCTAGTGTATTTTTTATTTAGAATGGCTCAAGCAGGTGAATTTCAATTCCAAAACGTTTCAACCCCCAGAAAAGCAGGGAATGGCTTGGGAATGGGTATCTTTAGGGATAGCCACAGTCCACCCTCCAGGAGCTCATACACTTCCACCTTGATCAGAACAGGTACAATCAACACCAGAGCCCTCACCTGCCCGATTTTCCTATGGATCCCAAATTGCTAGTGTATTTTTTATTTAGAATGGCTCAAGCAGGTGACGTTGAACACTTCCCAGCCTTCTGTGTAAAGGGACAACAATCTCGATGCAATGAGATGCTTTTTCCGTGGCTTGTTTCCACCCTCCAGGAGCTCATACACCTCCACCTTGATCAGAGCAATGTAACGCAACAATGAGCAATGAAAACAATTTTTCTTCTAGCAAAAGGAGGAGAATGGAGATTATGAACATTTCTGCCACATCATGGCTGGAAAACTGTGCCATCATCCCAAAGTAAGCAAAGAGATTAACAAAAAAACAAGAATCAGTATATACAGCTACTTTTGGAGGTGTTCAGTGGCAGGATATTATTATTATTATACCATAGAAAAATATCCTGACCATCCCTTTTCTTTTTCTTTGGAACGTCTGATACTGTCAAACTCTTCTGCTCTTCTACATCTTTGCAAAAAGTCTGACCCTGCCTTTTGCCAAAGGAACAGGTACAATCAACACCAGAGCCCTCACCTGCCCGATTTTCCTATGGATCCCAAATTGCTAGTGTATTTTTTATTTAGAATGGCTCAAGCAGGTGAATTTCAATTCCAAAACGTTTCAACCCCCAGAAAATTAGGGAATGGCTTGAGATAGGTATGACATGGGTATCTTTAGGGATAGCCACAGCGCACAAAGGACAACCACAACCTTGAGTCCACTTCTTTGCATGCTGGAGGCAAAGAAAAAGTGAGGACAGCCATCAAATAAAAATAAAAATAAAGCAGGTTTATGCGGCGAGAGGGTGCACAAAGGACAACCACAACCTTGAGTCCACTTCTTTGCATGCTGGAGGCAAAGAAAAAGCGAGGACAGCCATCAAATAAAAATAAGGCAGGTTTATGCGGCGAGAGGTTTCACTCCTCTTTTTCAGCGTTAATAACAATGAAAGCACAAATGAGGGCTTAACTGGACAGATTATTTCCCCGCTTACTTTGCAGAAGTGTTTCAGGTCAGCCCTTCTAGAGATGTGTGTCCTCTTCAGCTTGAAGACCCTGAACTCGGCCTTCAGCATCTGCTCCCCCTTCTCCATGGCGCTGATGTCGAAGGAGAAGTGGTACTGGTCCATGCCAACTGGAAAGAGAGCCTCCCTTAGCGACAAGGCAAAAAAACACCCCACAAAAGAACCCAAATCCCCGGCAAAATAACCCCTACCCCCGCAAAATAACCCCTAAACCGGCAAAATAACCCCAACCCCCGGCAAAATGACCTCTACCCCTGCAAAATAACCCCAATCCCAGGCAAAATAATAACCCAAACCCATGGAATCCATGGCAAAATAACCCCTACCCCCGCCAAAATGACCTCTAACCCCGCAAAATAACCCCAATCCCCGGCAAAGTGACCCCTACCCCTGCAAAATAACCCCAACCCACGGCAAAATAATAATGCAAACCCATGGCAAAACAGCCCCTATCCCCGCAAAATAACCCAAACCGCGGCAAAATGACCCCTAACCCCAGAAAAATAACCCACATCCCGGGCAAAATAACCCCTAACCCCGGCAAAATAACCCTTACCCCCGGCAAAATAGACCCTATCCCCGCAAAATAACCCCAACCCCCGGCAAAATAACCCCAACCCCTGGGAAAATAACCCCTAAACCTGCAAAATAACCCCTACCCCCGGCAAAATTACCCTTTATCCCTGCAAAATAACCCAAACCCATGGCACAATAGCCCCTATCCCTGCAAAGTAACCCCAACCCACGGCAAAATAACGCCTAACCCCGGCAAAATAACCCAAATCCCGGGCAATATAACCCCTAAACCTGCAAAATAACGGCCCAATAACGGCGAAGGAGGACTCCCCTCCCGGCTGGGCCTCGCCGCCC